ATAATACCTAATAAGATTTTTTAGTTTAGCTATATATTCCTTACCTTAATAAGTAGTTATATTTATAATACTTAGATTAAATAAGTCTATATTTTCTAATAGCTAGATATAGAAGGGAAAACTATTTAGATATTTAGGGTCTTTAGGTATGTCTTTAGGGTAGTCTAGTCCTAATAGGTTATTTAATATAATAGTTACTAACACTATAGTATAAAATACTTCTATCTTTTATATAATATAGATTAGGCTAATAGTTCTAAGATCTTAGTTATAAAAAATATAAATAAGATAAGGGCTAAGGTTAATAAATAGGAGAGTAGCTTCTTATCTAGTAACTAAGGTATAAGGGAGTAAGGTATAGCTTTAACTAATAGGTTTTAGTATTAATATATAGCTATATATTTAAATAGCTATATATATATATTATATAAGAATATTAAAACTATAGCTAGAGGGAATTATATATATCTTAGCTACCTTAATATAATAAACTTTTATATAGTTATTATTAAGGGTTAGGGTAAGTGTTATAATATACTTATTAGGTAGTAGTAGTAAGTCTAGTTTATTACCTTTTCCTTACTTAATATAAAGCTAATAATAGTAAAGAAATCTTATATTAAGAATAAGACTATAGGATAAATCCTTAATAATATTATAGGGGGCTATATAAGACATTATAGATCTATCTAAATAATAAAAATTAACTAGAATAAACACTATCTTTATAACTTAAGGACCCCCCTTACTAATACTAGATAAAAGTAAGGGTTTTATTATTTTTATTATAGGGATATCTAGAAAATACTTTATAGCCTAACGTTTACTTATAAGGCTTAATCTAGAAGTAGTATTAAGGGTAATAGTAAGAGTATAATTACTTATATATATATATCTATAAAGGTAAGAATTAGAGGTAAGTTAATAGTTAGTATTTATAATTATATAAATTATAGTTTATTTAGCTTATTTAGTTAATAATATAGGGCTACTTTAAGCTTAAATAAGGCCTAGATTATTATATTAACCTTATCTTAGCAGGGCTAGCCTTATAGGCGCCTACTATAGCCTTTTACTAGGGATATAGTTAGGCTAGGACTTACCTTATTATTTAATTTATTAGTTTAGTTAGAGTTATATTTAACTTTAATTTAACTATCTTTTATATAAGTAAGGTATACTTTAATAAGGTATATAAGGGGCTTAG